ATTAAAATACCCATTTTTATTAGTGTAATTATACGCTAAACTATATGAGGCGATCCATGTCACATCAGCCAGTAAAAACAAATGCCACAAATAATTTTGAAAAATTGATATTACTTTAAAAATATTCACCGAGTGTCAAAATTAAAAAAAAAATTTTTGACATTTTTTCTCGTTGATTACCATTTGTTAACATGATTCCATTCAAATGCTGTTTCTTTGGCAGGATTTGACTGTATTTACATTTGTAAAAAAACAAAAATGTGCGTCTTTTTAATGGCCTTCAAAAAAAAATTAATTTAGACTTTATTGAGCAATTCGAACGTCCGTTTCTGGGCAAAATATGCGATAATATTTTTTTTCTCAAGGAAAGACACTCGTTATTTAAAAACTATCGCAAATTGTGAATACAAAAAACGATTTTTTTGTATTTTTTATATTATGGGATTCCTAAACACCGTGAAGTAACAGCTATTTTTTTTTATTAATATTTTATTAATATATGTATTATAAATTGAAGAGTGTGTATATTCAATAAAAAAAATAGCTGTTGCTTCACGGTGTTTAGGAATCCCATAATATAAAAAATACCAAAAATTCGTTTTTCGTATTCACAATTTGCGGAAAGTTTTAAAAATAAAATAGCGAGTGTCTTTCCTTGAGAAAAAAAATTTTATTGCATATTTTGCCCTGAAACGGACGTTCCACTTGCTCAATAGAATCTAAATTAATTTTTTTTTGAAGGCCATAAAAAGACGCACTTTTTTGTTTTTTACAAATGTAAATACGTCAAATCCTGCCAAAGATACAGCCATTTGGATGAAAAAATGCTAAAAAATGGTAATCAACGAGAAAAAACGTCAGAATTTTTTGTATAATTTCGACACTCGGTGAATATTTTTCAATAAAGTAACTCGATTTTTCAAAATTATTTGTGGAATTTTTTTTTTACTGGCTGAAGTGACATGGATCGCCTCATATATATCTTTTTGGTCAACTTTGGGAAAAAATGTTTCAGACAACTGTGTATTCTTCAATTAAGAAATCTTGATTTTATTAACGGCGCAGCGAAAACAAGTTTTTCAAATGGTGTCAAATAGTTATATTTTTAACAAGACTAACCCTAGAATAAATATAAAGGTATTAAGAGAATGCGTGTTCTTTTGTATTATTCACTTTATTTAAAAGTGTCCCTTTTTCTACAGTTCATAATTTCGAAAATGCTTATAGTATACACTTTCTTGTTTGTCAGGCTCTATAGGATGTCGGTTTAAAAAGAACAAAGTTCCATAATTATAGCCAAAATGGCAGAACCCTTGCGTAGGAGTCAACGTACAAAAAATATGATACGCGTTCTTTTTTTAATTATCTAACCCAATAATTATAACAAGGATATATGATTAAGGACTACTGATATTATTTTTCAAACAGCTAGAATTGTGACAGGGTAAAGTGCCTATATCGCATTACCTCTTAATTTTGGACGAAAAATTTCAAGTGCCTTTCAAGCCGACTGCATCAATCGTACTTAAATGTATTTTTTTCGCCATCGTCTTTAGCCATTCCTATAGCAACACAAATAACCTGTAAAGTTGAGGCTGACGGCCGGTTATTTTATGAACAACGATGTGCGAACCAAGCGTCTGCTACACGATTGAAAAAGGAGAAATTAGACGGAGGTATGCATTTATATAGTTCTGACATAACATGTTCTGACTTAAATGACACTTGATATGCATACCTTTGGTATTATGCAAAATCTACTGTTCACGATAATTTTAACAAACTTTGTATGTACATAAAATACGAAGCACAGTGTTTCGTATTGTGATGTCTGACCTAAGCGGTGGTCTTGTACAAGCAAACTTATCCGTGAGTGTTGCCTACTCTTTGAATTTATCTGTTTCATTGCGAATTAGACGCTGTAATAGTATAGTTTAATAAATTCAAAATACTTTAAAATTTGTTTAACTTTTGTGTTTAAGAGATGAAAAATTATTTCAAACATACCTTTAGGTGTGTAAACTTAACATTTTTCCCTTCAAAATCCGCTATATCAAAACTTTGACATTTCGATTTATATCAGGTCCATGTACCTAATTTAGATGGACGACAATATTTCACTGTTAGGTAAATGTTTATATTCCTGCTTTATTCACCTTCTTTCATAGCTATTTGTACACGACTTACCTGAGCCACAAATTTGTCTGAGATTCATCTGAAATAAGTAAACTGATCTTAATTTGGATCAAACTTAGACTTCTAAGAAAATTTATGTTTTCAAGGTCTCAAGCCAAATAAACGGAACATTTCATTAGAAATCAGTAGTTAAGATCGCAATCTAATTTCTTTTAATCAATTGACCCATTCGATCATTATATCAATAAAGCCATTGTTGAAATAGGAAAAAGGGTTTCGAAATATGCACTTTACCGTAAGTTATAAATTATTTTAGAAAATTGTAAATCAAACAAATCACAAAGTAAGCGACCCTTATAATTTTATTCTTCGAATCTTTAAAATATACATTAAAATCCAAAATGACGATTTCATACACTTATAACAGCAGCAATAAATGGTTTAAACGTATCCAGAACTATTATTATTAAAGCTGCGCAACTGTCTGAACCGTTATGATAAATCTGACTCGATGAGAAATAATTCATTTCAACTGTTCAATTATTTGTTTAGTAGGGTATATGCGAGTTGTATTTATCAAAACCAGACGTGAAATAAATATCGCACGGATATCCTTCAAATTCAAGTGAAAATAATTGACCAAATCACGATGTATCATCATTGCGTGATTTTTCAATAGGTAAATCCAGTCGCTCCAAATTATTCATTCGGAAAAAACGCAAGCATATCATTAATAATTGACCTATGAAAGTTTGATGTTTATGCCTACGATAAACAATATTTTAATTTAAATTATGTCGAATATTTTGATGCCAACAAAATATTCCGATAATAAATATTACATGTTTATCTCGTGAATTATTTTAACATTTATTAGTATTCATTTCCCAACAATAAACATATCAATCAGTGTTGTATATACTTTGCGACAGAAAGGAAGTCGTCGAATAATAATGTTAAAACTTCATTCTCATCTCTCGGAGAAAACGGTAAAGTAGATTTCTATTGCGAGAAGTAATTACTTACGTAAATTTAAGAATATAGTGACCTCATCTGACTGAACAAAGGAGTACTAAAAATTGAGAACTATGTATATGCATTGACTGAAGAGGTAAATAGATTATGAATCTTATGGGGTATGGTGTCACGGGAGCCTGGGTCATCGTGGACACATACAAATGACCTTTAACCATTGAAATGCTGTATATAGAAATATATTTTACATATAAAAATCACGGGATATGGAAATCTAGGTAAGTCTAGTTTATTTATATTCAGTTGAATCATATAGCCTGTTCTGTAGTCGATCGGTAACAGCCAACAGTGTAACGACTGAGCTCTTCCGAGTTACGAGCTATTTCATTCAGTTTGTCGATGGCAGCATTCTCGGTGACGCTGTGGAGTCTAAAGGACACTACAATGTCGGCGTGACGTATGCCGACAGTGCTGCCTTTTCTAGTCGGTATGGTAGTGTCCTTTAGACTCCACACGCGTCAATGTGACCGAGAATAGACGGAAATGCATGTTGGCAGTCTATTTATGTGTGTCAGTCAATGATACAGGGCTATCCAGTAAACGTATCGATTAAAGTGTATTTACATAAAAATATGTTTACCTCCTCGTTCATTTTCTGACAATTGAACATTCATTTTTGAAAGTGTCATTCGGTATTCGAATACCAACGTTCTTTCCTTTTCTTATTGGCTGATTCCTCCAGAGATGTACTAAAGAAATACCTACCTACGGTACTAAAATACCTATACCATTGATTGAATATAAATAGACTAAATATGCTCGTGTATTCTGTGCCGCGCGAATTTAATATGTATAATGTATATCTATATATAGCATTTCAATGGGTAAAGTCCATTTGTAAGTGTCACGTCACCCTGGCTCGCATGACACCATACCAACAAATGTGCAGTTCGTTTACTTCTTCAGCCAACGGTAACATTCCTAGTCTATTTATCTATAGTCACAACTATATGAAGTAAGATAATATAGAAAACTGTACTTCGGTAAGCGAGATTGTTTAGGCAGTTTCTCGTGAACGTTATTCACTTTTTATTTATTTTTTTGTAAAAATGATATATTCAGACTCATTCCACTCATTGAAGATGGCCTGTTGATTTTATTATTATCGTAGAATTAACTTCATTATATTTTTCTATTATTAATGTATGTCTTTCTGAAAATCAGTGATAAAAGCATTTGTGGTAAGAACAAAAATTGTACTCATATTTACGCGAATGATTACCAGCAAGTGTGGGGAAAACACACGTAACGCTTCTGTAAAAAACCACAAATCATATAATTGTCCATTCCCAAATAGTTATAGGGAATATGCGTTAACATCCATATGAATGACCCAACGTTTCATCATCGTGAAGACAAAACGTACATTTCAACATTGTACATTCAACGTTAAGAAATAATAAATAGCATATCCTCATGCATAAGTTAAGTGATAACCGATTATGCCTGGAAATTGATTTCCTAAATAGTAACTAGTTTTGTATGGCTTATTGTATGTGTATTATAACAAAATAATTTCTGAACATTTTTCAAGAATAATCTTAATCCATGAGACCTTCTGTAAAAATTTGATTACTAATTTTGATAAATCGTTAAATTTTTTAATCAGTTATCGACTTTCTTATAACCATGAGTAATAATCGATGACGTGGTTGTATAAAAATAAAAGTTTTAGTTAAAGACGATATCAAAGATTCGTAATTCAAAACCGGGAATCTGATTAATATCAGAAACACTCATTTGTGCGCATGCTCGCGTTATGTCACACGTCTAATCTTATCTTACATTTCGCGGTCAATAAGCAAGTGCATTTATCGATTTTATATTTAAGCCGCGAAATTAGTCGTCCAGCAACCAATCGACAAAATGGATTTCGAAGCAGCAAAATCGTTCGTTCAGGAGAAGCTCGGCGTGGAATACGTTAGTGAGAAAGTAACGTTGCTTCAAAAAATAGTTCGCGCTTTTTCTGAAAAACTGCCATTTCAAGTAAGATATTTATCATAATAATTTATAAAATACATTTTGTAGACTTTGATGTTATCAATGAAAATTGTATGTGCTTATATATGAATATCTATAATAATATAATGGCTTATGATATAATGAATAATAATCTCAAAATATACCGTTTACAATAAAGTATAATGCATTGTAGTTTTTGTGTCGCAAGAAAATTCATTAGTTATTACAAATTTAACATTCAATAACAAATAACTGATCATTACAAACGTAATTGTATAACATAATAACTGTAACAGATGTCGTTTTATATACCAGAATATGTGTGTTATAACGATTATAATTTATAACAATATTGTAACGAGTATATAAATCTTTTTTTTAACATATGAATGTTGAGCGCCTATCTCAATTAAAATATGTATCTACCATTGAAATTGTACTATTTCAGGTCTGATGATTAGTTTCATATATTATTTTAATCCTAGGAAATAGATTTGTATAGCTATTTTATTACTTTCTATAACAGTGCATATAATCGCGTAAAATCTTGATACGAAAGAATTAAATTAAATTAAACTATGCAATAAAATTCTAATCATACAGAAACTAATATACAACTATTAGATACTTTGATATTTGAAAACTAACACGTGTAGTTGTTGTCAATTTAACAGAAGCAAGTAAAATGCAAAAATAACAAAAAGGCAAATTTTATGTCAACGTATAAATTCTATCCTCACGTTTTGTCAATTTCAGAATATCTCCGTTAGTATCCTCGATGCCGGAGCTCGATTCCCTACTGAAGAAAATGTAATCTCTGTCGGAAAATCCCTTAGTGGTGGAGTTTGCATTCACAATAACTGGTTTATGAAGATTCTTTTACAAGCACTGGGCTATAATGTTTATTTTGTTGCCGGTTATAGTACAGAAAGCCAGAAAAAAACTTTGGGAAGTCATATAGGAATCGTCGTGAAAAATTTGACAAACGCAAACGATCTACATTTGATCGATGTTGGATCTCGTTACCCATTATTTAAACCAGTGCCACTCAATTCATTACCATATGAAGCAACAGACGTCACGTTGACTTACCGCTTTGTAGAAGAAAATGGACAGTGGCACAGAGAGCACAAGGTAAAATATTTACTTATTAATATTTTCAAACTTCATGATTTACTTTTTTACTCCCATTGAAGTCTGTGTAATTAAAATACTTGCTATGATCTTATTCTTGAAATAATCTCAGAGAAATTCATCTGTTGAACGTATGTAATTAAATTAAGATTAATAACGTAGGTATCTGCAATTAATACTGATTCAATTCTTGAAATGTGATCGAATGAAATTCTAAATGAATATGAGTCGTTAAACTACCATGCGAGTATTCTCTTAAAAGAAAAATGTGAATCGAGGGTAAATTGTATAATCTGTAATTTTATCGAAAAAATGCGATAATATATCAAATGATAAAACATTAAAGCAAAGCGGAAACCGATTTATTAAAAAATGTCAAACAAATGATATCATGATATTGAATAGATAGTGATACATTTAGCGAATGTGAAAGGAGAATTAATTTTACGAGTTTACTCTTTTAGTCGATTCAAATTAATACTTGATGTTCATTTAACATTTTCAGTTTTTACGTAATTACAATTCCTGCATTGAAATTATTTTTGAATCTATATTATCACATTGTTATATTCAGGATATACTGGACGTAATAAATTTATACGTTTTAATTTTCAGAACGGAACGTTCTCAAAATACACTCGTTACATCACTTACGATAAGTCATTACGATCATCTGTCAATGATTTTCGTATTGCCATGGAAGAAGTTCTGCAGGAGAATTGGCTTATTGGAACGGTATTAGCCGTTCGCTATCTTCAGCCAAACTCCAAGGACATTCCGGGTGTGCCGGATTTCCATCCTCAGTATGATTATATGGCGGAATATTCAAATAGAACAATTACTTTCGAGAACAGTACAGGATATAAATACACAGAAAGGGTTGGGAGCGACCAAATTGAGTTTACTGTTCGTCAATACTTTCCCAGTATTCCCAAAGAGGATGTTGCCAAGAGAGTTGCAGCAATTCAAGAAGAGTAAGATCAAATGATATTATTTAATATTCTACGTAAAAAACCCTTTATACCACTGTCTGGTACTTTTACCATTAAAACACTATAGCTCGTATTCAGAACTCGCTCTTAAAGTCACTAAGGGAGTCGCTCTTAGTTAAAAGTCACTAAGAAAAAATTTAAAAGCGCGCTATTAGCACTAAAAGTCGTTTCTGAATACGGGCGTATAGATTTAATGAATATTTTACAAGTCAATCGAAATACTAAATACTACACTCTTTAGATATAACAATCAATTTGTTTCCATTCCAGGCCAGACCGTCCATGGTATCAATGCAGGATGCTCTAATCACATTGCTGAAAACAACGAAAATATAATAATGAACAAACACGTAAATGACATTAAAATTATAATGATTAGGTATTCTTTACTCTTCGTAATGAAATTTAATAAGTAATTATATTACGTTTATTAATTTGTGCATTCCTCGTTCAATGATCTTTTATTATATTTTCTTTATGCGCTCGTAATTCAGGCTCTCACGCAATACTAAATGTATCACAAATCACGATTTCTCTTCGCCGGCAGAACAATGTGTTCAAAAGAATTAGACATTCGCAAACAAACTTTGTATTATATACTCTGCAATGTTGTACACATATTATCTTCCGGAATACGATGTTTATTATATTTGTTGAATCATAAAACATAATCACAATAAGTTCACAGCATTAATGTCAACATAAGGAAATAGTTGGAGTGCGTGTTTTATTCATAGTTTTCCATGCAGGAAGTGAAAGTTGTCTACTTTTTAATTTAATAAAAAACAAATGGAAAGACGACAATGTGACAATTCATACATCCTAGTTGCACATACTAAATAATTAATTAGTATCATTAAAGTATATCTCAAAAAAATTATGATAAGTTTGAAAGAAACCAATTAATTCGATTCTTGATATATCTTTAAGGTATAGGTTACTTTTTCTTACAATTCGTAAAACCCCATATAATACAATATTTTTATAAACATTTTAGAGGTATACCATCAATAAAACAAAATAATTATTTGAAGCATAGCTCCCAAGCTATTTCTATTATTTGGATTGATAACAGCTTATAGTTTCCTGAGAAAAATAATAAATGCTTAAATCAAAGTGTTGAAACATTAAAAATATGTAAAGAATTAACAGCGAATAGTATATAATAATTGGTCCAAACGTTGAATTATTTTTTTGACAATTCACAAACAATGCTATATTTAATAAACCACACGTTGGTTTCCATAGCATTACGATAATATATGCTAAAATTGAAAAATAATATTTAATTTAGTGCATATTATGTAAGAACCATTCTACGCAAAGTCACGTGTGGCTTGTAAGAGACTTCAATGTTTTCGAACTGTCGAAAAAAAGGTCGAACTCATGGACCGACTATATTATCAATGATCATTAAGAAAATGACTGTTTTACGGTAAATATTACATTTCATACGTTATTGATTACTGGTTTGAAAATGTACTTACTGTAGATTATTACGAAAGATAATAGGAAAAAAAGTAGCATGTAATGAAGTAAACGTGACGTTATCTTGGAATGATTTTCTACAGTTTCGCAATTAAAAAAATTGATTGAATGAAGACTTTTGTATTTTCGTGAATCATAGGAAGTCTATATTCTGAATTTTTGCATAGATCTAAATTCTTCTAAGAATTATTATGCAATTATGAATTATTTCAACGTTATGACGGTTTTGTACATCTATTCAATTTGAGGGCTTTTTTATATAAATTGAAAACATTTTGGATTTGAATCATCCAATATCTCAAAGTTCTACTTGATTCATTAATATAATTTATATATAATAAAATATAAAATTTTATATTTATGTCTTGAATTATAATATTTATATTAGGAATTTTTGCTAAGTACTTGTAATCATTGAATTTCGGTTAAATATATAATTTGCAGTAATCATCAATTAAGTAGTATATCAAGATAATTTATCGTATATTTTCTGAGATATAAACAACTCTGATAATATCAACTCCATTATACATATAGGCATGCTCAATCTATAAGAATGAATAATTTTAAGATTCAGTATCTTGATCACCATACGGTAGAATTTATTGATTTTCAACTTGAATGCTGAGATTATCTTATATTTTCACTCATTTATTTTTAAACCAAAAATCATGGAGCTTTGTTTACTGCATGTTTAACTTGTGATTCCCTATTACAATTATGATTTTCATCACTGGACAACCTTCAATTTCCCAAAAAACAATAATATTTACCAGATATAACGTACATCTATGAAACTTTATTTTAAGATAAAAACACGACTCTGACAAATCCAATAAAATCTATAACTAGATCCTGTATTAAATAAAATCACAAACATCCAAACTGATTTAACTGGGATTAACCAATGACATTCGGGTATTCATCTTAAGTATTGCACAGGATTGATTAATCTTACTTAAATCCTGCACGATAGAACCGTAATCATGAAAATCGATAAATAAAAATTCCAAATACCTAAAACAAAGGAATTTCATTGCAACTGATGAACAACATTTTAAATATTTCTACTACGAAAACTATTCCAGCGATAAAAAAAAGGCTAGACATCTTTCAACAGACCCCGTAAGGCATTAAAAATTTATCTGCACACCTAGCACGATAGAAATCTATTCATCCCAACGGTACCGTATTCTTATCGGTACTCATGAAATCTTATCCAATCCCACAGTTGACTCTGACAAACTACAGTCTAGTATAGCTAGCGTACACACTCCTGTACCGTGCTGTAGAGTGTTGTCCTTAGTACTAAAGAGTGTTGCATCGTGGAAGCGGAAGAAGTCAAGAGTGGAGCAGAACAGAGCAGAGCAAAAAGAGGGAAAAGAGAAGAGTGGGAGGTCGCGGCATGGTTTGAGTTCAGCTGAGGATCATCAAGTTAGTTGCTCGTGAGTACCGAGTACCGGCGCTGCTTGAAGAGTAACAAGCAGGAAATGAAGAAAAGGTAAAGAAAGATATACGAAACATAGAAAGAAAGGAAAATATAATAGTGGTGCTTTCTTCATTCAACATCTTTCACATTGACTACTGCAATTTCCTTCACCGTTTCTACCTTCCATCTGCCTCAACGGGTTGACATGCCTGATTGGGAGACACGCACATTAACTGCTGGACATTTACTGTAATCACATAAGTTTCATCTTGCAGCTGTACGAATATGTAAGTAACCACATTTTCAATGAATTAATAATCTTATTTTTTAGAATCTATAACCGCTTTACGGACTTGAAGGGATCTTTTTTTTCGGCTAATCCTACTTAATATGTCTGTAATGATTTATTTTACTATATTTAAACATATTTTAATAGTAATAGTTTAATAGTCTTGACATGATTATAGAGTTGTGAATCTTTAATGGGTATGTGCGCTTGCGCGCTCTCTGTCAAGTTCATGTAAGGGCGACTAGTTATGTTGCATCTTTAATTTTTTTTAATAGTAATTTCATCTGGCCTTATTTAGGTATAATATGCAATTGACATAATGCATATTCTTGCTAACGAGGATAATAATACTATTAATTGAGTTCGGATTGCATGTTACGTTCACTTTCTTGAATGAGAAAAGGTTATTGATAATAAAAAAAAATTTCCAAGAGCAGATTCCTTAATGAAATAATTTCCATATAACTTGTAAGTTTGAGTCTTCTGAAGTTTGAGATTTTGTATAATATTATATAAATATTTGTTTGAATTACTAGTGTATGACTAATTTTTTTAAATATCTAATACAACATTCGTACCAGTATTATTATTACTATTGAATATCATACAGTTTTGTTATAATGTAGCTGTAAGTAGTAGTAATGTATTTTTAAGTATTTTAATTCTTTCATGAATTATACACATGTCGTTCACAAAATTCAATTAGGATTTTTCATACTATTTGTCGATATTAGTCATCTCCGATTGCGAATTTTACACTTATATAACAATCCATCTCAGTCAATATATACTGATATAGATATAGCCTCGAAAATATTGATATACACATATGCTACAAACAGACAACTAAGGTCAACACTATTACTTACCTACGTATTCTTTAGACAACTGAGAGAATTGCACAAACAATAATGTAGCATATTCATTTGTTTTTACCATTGCGTATCCTGGTATTTATATTACTCAATCTGTCACATGTTCGTCATATCCCAGAAATGATGAAAACGCGGTAGCACGTCCTGACAAGAAAATGATGATTTACATGACTGACAATGATTCATGCATCAACCTTCACGATATACAATTTGACCTTCCTCACCAAGGTCTTAAAATCATTCACCTATACCAAACCTACTTTAACGTGATATCAAAGTATCAGGGGATATTAAATTAATAATATCTAAGTCGACTAAAATTCTTATATTAATATAAAACTCTTCTCTATGATTCTTGAAAAATTATTAAGTTACCAGTATACTATGAATGCTATTGAACTTTAGATAACTTACCATATGTTCCTTATGAAGAATATTTTGATGGAGGAATTGATTTTTAAAAAAAGTTTTCCTTTTATCTCCTTATTATTAATGGGAAAGTAAATGTGTCTCTAATGCACTAAATAAGTGATTACTTTTATTTTATTGGCAAATGGGTTAAGGTACCTTTCTTTCTTGCTCACCAGGACTTTGTCCTTGATGATCCATTCAACGGATGCGGTTATTTTCGGAGCATGATTAGAGAGTAAAAATGTTGACGTATGTGTTCACTCAGATTGATCTACTTTGTTTATTATCAGGAAGTCAAAAAAGCTTCTTAAGATTTGAAAAAGATCTTATTAGTTTAGTAACCGAAAGCTAGATATCATGATTCTTATATAGATAAAATTATGCAAATTTTTGTCGAGCATAGTGAGAGGAATATCATTTGATGATTTTTTAGATATACATATATTATTGCGAATTGGAACGTTATCAATGAGCAAATGACAATGATTTTTATTTTTTATGTACGGGCGAATACTAAAAGGTAAAGACGCCTAGTTTTGTTTTATTTCCTTAAAGAAACAGACCGTGAACAATTCAATGAAATATTGAACATTGCCAAGTGACCAAAAAACGAGTGACTTGTTCATTGTGTCATTCCAAACGTAGAATACATGTTTTTTAGTAATTCATACTCAATTTTATATATCTATAAAAAATCATAATAATTCAAGCATATCCGTTTCTTAACAAAGCAACGTTATAAAATTGAGTTATTAGTTAATTGGGATATAACTATATGAGTATTCAATAAATCGTAGCACTCGTGACATATAACCTGTACAAGCTCATTTGATATCAAGGAACGTTGTCACAATAATATATAATATATAAATTTATTAATAGTTAATTGAATCCATTATCATTTCCGACTCATACTTTCTTTAAACTATCATCAACTGTATTGAAGACATTTTTAACTGACTATTTATTTTTTACAATTCAAGAAACTTGACTGGAAGACGGATTTGTTTGTCTATAAACTTAACTATTCTTTAATATGTTTGTTTGGTTTATAACGTAAGCATTAACGTATGTGAAATAAACAAGCATTAACACATATGTCAATTACTCAACCAGACGGAACTGTAACGTTGATGTTGCCGTGTAGATCCAAGGTGAATCAATCCGATAAAAAGCAGGAAAGGTCATAACCGATAACCGATAGGTGCTAAAGATACATTAACGACACGCGAACTACGTGAATCACGAAAGATTCAACCACACCTAGAAACGTCAGTTAGTCAATCTTTCCATCCATATTTATTGTCCAGAGCACGTGGCTTATATACAATGGAAAATTTATCATGTGAAGGACATCGCGTTTTTCAAATCAGAAGCAACAATAATACTTGTCACGTTGTAACGGTGTTGTGAATAACACGCGTGCAAAAGTAGAGGACTATGGATACTACGCGACATTTTTTGTTGTCAATTTTTAATTAAGAATTCCATTACGCTACTAAAAAATCAAAATGGGAAATTGACTTTAAATTAGCAGATTTGTATTTAATTAAACTTAACAAATGGTTTGAGAATAATGAATTGGAATTAGGTCAATGGGATTTGATTTTATTCGATTTTTTGATCATAAACTCTAGTGCAAAGATGAAAAGGTGCTTTTATCTTTATTATAAGGTGTGATTGTAATCGAGGTAGTATGAAGAAATGTAAAGTGAAACTAAGTTTTCTTTCTGTAGAAATACATAGCAATGTTTTTCATTTGGTGGTAATATTATCTCTCATTATACTCTAAGGTATTCTGCGCTATTTTTCTATCTGTTGAAACTTCAGTTTAGGCTTGTCACATGTCGGAACGTCGTAATTAGCACGCTGTCTTGGTTTTATAATTAAAAGCAGCACGCAATTAGTCAGTATCCATAAGTGAGACGAAGTCATATGTAGTATGTCTTGGGGAAAAAAGATTCTTGCGAATACTATAAAATATGTAGAATTATTCCACTTAATTGAAAACGATTGGACATTTTTAATTTTTAATGTCGTAAGTTTTCTTAACAGCTATTATTTTTCCGTCGAAATTGAACATTATTATCGGATAGCGGCAATGTATCCTATGCAACATCCTGCATTGATACGTTGCACATGTTTTACAATTCATGCACTGCCGCCTTCTCGATTACCTTTCCTGTCTTATTATGATATTATGGTACGATACGTTAATATACACTAAACGTATATCAAGACCTGTTAAAATTTTTTTTTAATTCCGCCATTATGTCCATATTAGTAAAAGGAGCAAATAAAAGCACAAGGAAATTTCATACAAGATTTTTAAATATTGTCTATTATTTCATAACTTCATATAATTTTAAAAAAGTCGTTCTATTAATTTCAATTTTTTTACATTCTTACGTAACAAAATATGCTTAAATTCATTTGTTTATCGACAATGTAATATGTATTTATAAATGAAAAAAGGCAGACGGCCGTAAAGGTCTTGCAATAAGAAGACACTTATAATGAAACGTGCTCTAGATTCTTCATGATAATTTATAAATTCCCTGCATACTCTCAATCACGCTAATACAGCAATGAATCGTGATTTATCCGTTGCAACAATTTATTATTAAAACTGTAATAAGTACTAATCACGAATTTACAAGTGTCAGTTTCATTACTTATTGCTGGTATAGACAAAATCTGCATCTTGAACACTTTAAGAAATAAATCTTATCGATATTCGGTAATTCATAATGCAACGTTTTGCGCACAGTAAAAGTGTATCGAAAAGTGTAGAAAGCGAGAGTGAGAAATTTTGTGCGACAATTTAGAAATAAGGCAATCAGTTAAAATAAGCGTTCATTTCATTTCGTGATAAGTAATTGATTATAACTGAAAATGAGATGTTTTAACATATTATTTCTTATGATTAATCTGACAATCATCAAGTCAATTGATTAAACTTTCACCTCGAACAAAACCCTACTTAATCTTGTCGTGAGAAATAGTTTATTGATGGAGCTTTAGTCCATTCCATAAATTATGAAACTTCTTTATAATTCAAATAGTATCAACTTGGGATCATAATATAACTTTAAAAAAATTTAACTCTCTTATACCTTTCAAAGAAATAGCTTGCTGTCGACAATAAAACTTTTCTTTTACTGTAGGAATTTTTTCACCTGGAGATTTTTCTTTAGGAGTCATTTCAATATTCTGTAGCAATTTACAATGACATTTCAATTTAGCTATTTCATCCAGAAGTATTTATTTTCAAAAATTTCTTTACATAACGAATTAATTACAATTACACAACGTCGATTTTTAAGACGTACCTATGGCAACTGCTGTTATTATTAGGCTTTGAACATTAATTGAATAATGTCTATTTTTTGTAATGTAACCAACATCCTAAACTGTAAACCGTGTGTATTCACTTGTTTATTACAGTTACTGACCTCTCTTGAGGAACAGCAACTAATTATATTTAAAAAAAGAACAAAGAAGACAAACGTTAAAAGAAAGGGGTTAAAAAGACGTTTACATTCTGTGAAGCGTGAGACTGTGAAGATGAGAATTTACAATGATTGAGAAAAAGTGTTAGTCAATTATCTGGAAAGGCCGGCCAAGCCGTAATGACCGTCAATTCTTAATGGAGCGCGTGTCATTAATGACTGCAACGGCGATTAGAAATATGATTATCCGGAAAAGGGAT